ACATACATACCTACGTGCGTGCGTACATATATGCATTCATAGTGGCACACACATAGACAGAACTAGGTACCTATACATATACTTGTGCATATACATAGCTTTAGCTATACATTTACATACACGCATCATTTCCATGTCCATATCCATATCCTGTGTGTGTGTGTATCTGCTACAGGTTGCTCTGGTTTTTGGATGGGGTCGTTGAGTGTGTTTGGGCTGGCAACCACACGGCGTAAAGTCTCAGTCCAGATCCCTGGATCGGAAAAGAACCCAGAGTTGCCAAGTGACAGCGGCTCAGGGCAGAGGGTGTAAGGTTTCGGGAACCGGGGTTGTCTAGCGCTGAAGAAGGCAGAGGTCAGCTGGGCGTCGCGCTTGGGTTTCGGCTTGGGGCTCTAGGGAAGAGGGCCTCGATAGCCCAAGTCTACACCCTGAACTGGGTGCCTGCGCGCGCTTGGGCTCAGGACAAAGAGAGACAGAGACGTAGGTGCCTCTGGACAGGCTGTAATGGGCGTTCATGCAGGCAGGGACCAACCAGAGCTGCTTGTGAGACACCCGCTTTAGGTCTCGACGACCAAGCTGCTTTTTGCATTTCGGGCTCTGCGGTGCTCAGTTGTTGTTGCTCCTTCTACGCTCTGATGTTGCCTCCCTCGTTTTCACAGGTGTTGTTGTTGTGTCGTCACTGTGGTAATTCGTTGGCTCCATGTAGCACCACCGCCGTGATAGTTATTGCATCGTATCATTGAGCCGTGGGTCATAAACCCCAAATCTTGAATCCATCAGGTTGCAGGGATAGGGTGCCCGGTCTGCAGCGTCACGTCGGCCATCACTTAGAGGATCAGATGCAAGGAGCTCGGAGTGTGAGAGTTCTGAAAACCGAAAGAGTGCTCAGCGCAATACTTCTGTTAGTTTGGGTTTTGGTTGAAGGCCTCTGCATTTTCTGGAACTTCCGTATAAGCTTAAGTCAGGTTTGTGCCTAGCATGACCCAGTGTAGATAGGACAGCTAGGATGGTTTACCCTTGCACAACCTCAGCTGCTCAGCTACAGACCTGGCACAAGACGCACAAAAGATGAGAAGTAATACCATTCCCCAGGGATGATCGGACGATTAGTAACGGGAGTCCCTTGTAGTCCTGATATGCATGTGGTCGAATGTCTTCCAAAGCCCCGTTAGCACAGTCGCTATGTTACCAGGATATGGTGGCCTGCACCCGCGCGCAATTTTGGGCGAAGTGCTGAAGAGGCAGCAGATCAATGACAAGGCCTATGCATGTCGAGTTTCTGAGATTTTGTTGTGCCTTCATACAAGGGTCCTTGGTCTTGTTTAGCATCTGGGACAAGATTTGGCCATTTGACCCAGTGCGGTTTTGTTTGTCGAGGTTCTCAGTTTGGCTTCGAAATTCGTGGATTGGGGATTTTAAGCCTTACCACACTTTTTGAAGCCAAAACCCCAGATATATTCTCTCGAACCTCAAACCCCGGGAAGCCTCAACCCCTGCGATCCTTAAAGACTTCAACAAGTCCGCAATTCGCACACACAGCTTCATCCCAAGTATCCGAACCTCAAAAAGTCCACAATTCACACGCCTACATCCCCAGTATCCTGAACCCCAAACCCAGAGCTTCGAGCCTCCAATACACCCAAACGCCCTTAAGAAGTCAGAGCCCTCAACCGTAGATCGAAATCCTAAACCCCATCACCCACACCTAAAGCCCTCCAAGAGACAGCAAAACTCCCCTTGAAACCTAAAATCCTAAAACCCTAAACCCTAAACCCAAAATCCTAAACCCTAAACCCTAAACCCTAAACCCTAAACCCTAAACCCTAAACCCTAAACCCTAAACCCTAAAACCCTAACACCTCAGATCCCCCAAAGGCCCCCCAGAAAGCCAGGAGGCACGCATGACCTCTCACGACTTGGCCCTGGCAGCCCGGGACCCCAAAAAGGAAACGTCGAGACGAAGCTTTCGGGTTTAGGGTTTAGGGTTTAGGGTTTAGGGTTTAGGGTTTAGGGTTTTTTGAGGCCTTCGGACTTTTCGGGGGTGTGGGGGGTTCAGGTTTTGGGGCATCAGACTTTTTGGTGTTTTCAGGGCATCGAGTTTCGAGCTTCGTGTCTAGAGCCTTAGATCTCCAGCTGTTGATCCCTAAACCCTAAACCCTAAATTCTTAGGGTTCCCTCCTGTCCCTTGCGCTCGCTCGCAATGCGGCGAAGGTCTGCTCCCTCTCGGAGCCTGCCTCCGCGGGCCAACTCTGCACTTGCTCCAAGGCCGACTTTCACAAGGCTTTAAATAAAGAGTTTCGGAAATCTAGTATGGGGGCCTTCATAATTACCTATACTATTCTGGGGGGAATAAATATTATATGATAGTTACAGTGTTATTATAAGTATAAATAGTGCTGAGGCATTTCAAGGGTTTCAGGGTTCAAGGGAGTCTAGGCGGTCGGTTCAGGGTTTGGGGATTTTGATGTTGCTTGTTCCTTTTGAAAAGTTTAAGCTGTAGTTTGAGGCTGTTGTGTCTAGACTACTGTGAATGCAGAATATTATTCCCAAGGGTCCTAAGTACCTATCTTTGCCGTGCAAAGTAGGGTTTTCCATGTTCGTAATGTCCATCAAGGTTCGTCCTTACCATCCTGCAAGTAGGTGCTGAGGACCCTTCGGGAGCAGAACCTCGAAACTTGCGCATATGGTAGCGGTCATGAACAGTTAGTTGTATATGCATGTGCAAGTGCAAGTTGTGCATATATATATATATATATGTATATATGTATATGTGCGTTTATCACATTATACGAAGGAGAGCGGCTTCAGGTCGGGGGGGATGAAGACCCCCAGCCCCCAGCCCCCAGCCCCCAACCCCCAGCCCCCAGCCCCCAGCCCCCAGCCCCTCCCTCCCCTCCCCTCCCCTCCGTGCC